TCGCGACTTTTTATGTCTAAATATTCTTAGCTCGGAAAGCAGAGCTAGTAGAGCGCTATTGGATGGTCAATAAGGACATGCAGTAATAAAGTTAGTGGTATTTTGACACATACGCCTGCGCAATTGAGTCTAAAAATAAGGGATCCTATCATAAGGATACTGTTCTGTGCTATTTGTGCAGCGACGCTAGAGATTTATTGGATATTATAAATACTGCCATGCAGTAATAAGGCTAATCCTTACTTTAATACCGCATTAGCTTTATTTCTCTAACTGAATAATAGTGATTGGGATGTATAGTTCACTGCTTTCAATATTAAAAGTATCTAACCTAACTCTGCAGAATTAAATTAACTTTACGTTGTTGGCTTTGTATTGTTTACCTTTTTCTCGGATATTGGAAGCTGTTTGAGCAGTTTGTCTTAACTGTTTCAATGGAAAATCGTGTGGAAATATAAGCTAGGTTCTATATACAATGAAATAACCTGCAAGCGTACGCAAGAAATGTCAACTGCCAGTTTAAGGTAGAAACAAAGCTGTACAGTATGGCTGCAAAATTAGCACAGAATAGTATCATTACATCATCCCTTAATTTTAGACTCAATTGCGCAGGGGTTTGTGTCAAAGTACCACTAAATCTATTACTGCATGTCCTTATTAACTCTCTACTGTACGCTTTATTTCTACCTTATACTGGCAGTTGCTATTTCTAACGTCCGCTTACAAGTTATTTCATTATATGAGGAGTTTATTTTCAAAACGCAATTTCTGCCAAAAATATTTGCTACTGAAATAGAGATGGCGTTCCACTCGCAGCGAGCATTTCTTTCGATTGCCACTTGAATTTCTAGTCAAATAGCAATTTCTGCCATGTAAAACGCCCAACAATTTTAGTATTTTTTTTTCAAACGCAATATCTGCAATAATGTTTTTCATCAAACCGTAATTTCTACATTTTTCGTTTCAAATCGCAATTTCTGCAAAGACTTTGTGTATTCATTGTTACGTACGGTGTGCTGCGAAAGAGTTTTTGGAAATGGAGACAATGGAGAATTACATAGGCACTGCTGTTGGAAGAGGTTGGAACCGTAAGAAAGCTTGGAGTAAACCAGAACAACCCTTATGATGTTAAGAAAATGAGCGACGTTAATTGCGAAAAGCTTATGGGAATCAGTCAAATGAAAAGGGTTTTTATTAAAAGAGAAAAAAATAGCAAAACTAAAAATACATCTCAAAAATGTTTATGACTATTATGAAGAAAGGAGTGCAAATGGGGAATGTAAAAATGAATCTGTTACCGTTAACCCATAAAGTAAAGGATTTAAAACTAAAAAATATTGAGTTGCGGGGTGAAGGTGTAGTGAAGTGTTCTTTCTAACCTATGAAGTCTAGAGTAAATTTTCTTAGAAATAAGAAAACACAATATTTCAGCTTTTTTTTCAAGAAGCAATAAGTCCTTAAATTTCTTTTCAAAACGCTATAAAATACAATTTTACTTTCAAAACGCATTTTCTTTTTTCGTTTTTTTCTTTCTAACTATAATCCAATTTTTTTAGCAAAATTTCCCATTGGATTTTATAGTCACGTTACCAAAGTTCCTGTTGGCACCGAAGATGAATTTATATTTCCATTTGTTTTGCTAGATTTAGAAAAAGCGTAATTCTGCAAATCAAATAAACTTTTGGAAATTGGGTTTTGAAAATAAGCTCCTCATATAAGTAATCCAGTTTCAAATACCTACATGTTTTTTTCAATCAGATAACTTTTTCAAAATGATCGAAAATAAGAATGTTCACTTACGAGGATGATGTCACCTTATTAAAGGAATTTTCCGTTAACGTTAATCCAATTATCAATCCCCAGGGATGGGAAATAATCCAAAAACATGATGCGATTATAAGAGGAAAAATATTTTTAATAATAAGTTTTATTTCTTCGTAGGTCATTTGTTCTAAATAAATATATTTCTTTCCTGGTTTTCATAACCATGTCTCTTTATAAATAGATGGTGCAAAATTAAGTAGTCAATTTAATTTTTACTTGCTCCGCCTAAGACTGCGGCTTCCATTGTAACAATTACGCAGAAATGCTCAAACAGCACCCAAAATCCAAAAAAGGTAAATAATACAGACAGCACCGTAACGTTAATTAAATTATTTAAGGTTAGACACAGAGGTTAGGTTAGACAGTGTTAGAACTGAAAGCAGTGAACTAGACATTCCAATAACTATCATCTTGTTAAAGAAATAAAGCTATTGCAGTATTAAAATAAGGATTAACCTTATTCCTATAAGATAGTATTTATGATTTCCAATAACTGTCTAGTAGATAGATGAAATTTTCAGAAATTGTCAACAAGGCACTGGTTATAAAGAGAACATTTTGGAACATCATTAAAAAATTTCATCGTTTTCATATGAATTTTAAAACAAAAATGGACCAACTATTCATTGTGCATTACGATTTTTAAAAATTCGTATTGTTCAAACTGCAAACTTCGTATTGTTGCAACATTCTCATAGTTGCAAAAGAGGGACAACTTTCCAAATTTCTTTCATATATTCAATCTCAAGGCTCCAAACTCAAAATGATACTTGAAAGTTCTTTGGTCGGCTGCAGAAATCTCTTAAACTTTGGTCTTCTCCAAAGAGCATGGAGGGAGCATTGAATCTTTGCATGTTGGGACGGGAATAACCAGTTTCAAATCCCCAAAAAAAATTGGGGCTTTGGATAATTTTATAGGCAATGTTCAAAGTGGTCGTTCAAATCTGTAAAGGAACTTCAGCACCCCAATTTACAAAATATTGTAACTAACAAGAGAGAGCTTTAAACATTTTCAGAATTGTCAGAGAATTAGTCTCAAATTATTCGAAAATACAAGAACCTTGCAACTTTGGATGCTTTGTAACAGCCTGGGCGCAGTGTTGCGCAAAAGGCTTGGTGCGCCAACTCAACGCGTCTTCGTAGTAACTCACTGTCGTTGCGCGCTGGAAAAGCGTTACTAAAATTATGAGTTAAAACATGAAGTGACTTTTTTAGTTGTTTGTACAACAAGTGGTAAAACATTACTCATAAAAAATGTTGATGACCTTTTTTTCATATGTTAAAATTTTAGTCTCGGGCCTCGTAAAGCTTTAATCCACTTTAGTAAATGAGTTATAACTCATCAACTCAGAGAGCGACAACAAAAGAAAATAGGGCGAGACCCAGGAAAATGGTTACAGACTACACAAAAATTCATCTCAATCTCAAAAAATTCCAAACCGCCAATGCGTCAGTTATCCTTGATCCGACAGCGATATCAATTCTAAACAGTTTATTGCATGTGACAGAACCGCTACAAACAAAGCTCCATGTTAATAAACATTGTCTAAAGCTAATTAATTTATTAAACAAATTCGAGTGGACTGTTTTAATCGCTTAGACAAATATTCCGATTTGAAAACAATACAGTATTTTGGCTTGTGGACAAGGGGGCCGCAATTGGTTGAACCAAATTAGCGCAACATCGACTTTCCGCCGCTATTTTCGGTCTGAATTGGCCCATATGGCAAGAACACTATTTCCTGATAATTAATCGTGATCGGTGTCAATAACACAACATGCAGGCCTATTGAGGAAACAATTGAAATCAGAGCGGTATTTTTTCGGCGTTATCTTGATAAATTTCTTCATCTACACGGCCCAGATTGGGAATGTTCTCTGCAACAAGTAGATATGTTCGCAAAAAGTGATAACGGCCTAAATAATCAGCCTAATTGGATTTTCATAAAGGAAAGCGCGCTGTTAAGCAAAGCCCGAGAGCGAAAACCTTCGCAACAGAACGACTCAATTAAATTGAAAAAGTCCATGCAACAAAACGTGCTGGAATTGGAAAATCGACTACGGAATGAAAATGTTTTGCCTTTTGCTCGAACTGATTTAAATGAAACTAGTTTCGCGCTCCTACTGTTACTCAGTGGCAGTTTTCCTGTTTATTATATTTATCTCGAATGTGCTTGCAGTCTTGCGAAATCAATAAATAACCCGTTTCGGCAGATTAATCAACATCGCAGACTCTGGAAACAATATACCTGTGATAATCAATAATTAGTGAAACAATTCCGTTTAGGAATCATTCAGGTGGGCATCAAAGCGGTTTTTTGGATGCATTGAAAAACTCCGGTAAATATTCCGTCTGTACACGGAAAAACAAAGAGAATTACATGCTGTCAGAACTGGCAGGAAAATTAGGCGCCCAGTTGCGGGATTAGGGCGCACGAAATTGGACGTGTGTAATGCAGGCAACGCGGCAGGATTGTTTCATCCTGAACTGTCCAGAGCCGATTAGAGGAACTTTGGGCGCATCTGAGTGCGGAAATTTCAAGGAAAAAAACACCCATTACCAAAGTACAGATGGAACGGTTCATTTATGAACGCCTGAAAAGTTTTCTCTTTTTTCCTCCACTTTGAAGCCCCTGGCGAAAATCCGGACCACGCCATTTTAATCTTGGTTGTCGGATGGTTTATTCGCACCTCTACTATCTTACAAACATGTTTTTATCCCAACGTTTCGGTTGGTAATATCTCCAACCATCAGCGAAGCGTTTTAAGTCCATTGAGTGTTGAAGTCTTCTAAGTCATCCTTCGAATAGTTTCTGCTTAAAGTTTCCCGAATAAACCTCAACACAGTCCACCACTGCTAAACAAACATTGTGCGAAATTTCAGCCCCTTCTTTCGCTTGCACCTCAATCAATTCCCCATTGAAATACTTGCTAAATATTACATTTCGAGCGCATAAAAACTTGTTTTGCCGGGCATTGCGAACAAAAGGGAACTGAATTTAGTGGAACACCGTATGGTTTAATTTAACAGCAAAATATGGCTCGATTATAAACGGCAAATAATAGCGAAACATTCCCAACAATGGGGCCGCGTTTTGCGTAATTGTTATTTTCGAACATTTCCTATTTTTCCTGTCCGATGCATACGGAGGTTTGACCTCAAGAGACTCACTCACCTGCCACTCTTCGGTCCCACATTCGACACGTACGAAGAACTGGCTGTGATCGCTTCATCTGGAATGATGCCCGATTCCATGCCTAAGGGCTCGTTGCATTGGGCTGCAACACAAAAACGGAAAATTGAATATAAATGTAACAAACAGTATGTTCTAGAATGTTTATGCTGGACAATATTTAATATCCGCTCTGAAATATTCGGAATTTAATATGCCGACATTATGCCAAATTGGCCAATCAACAACGGTACGTGTAAACCGGATTTATGTGCCGGCAAAAAATATTATTAACTATATGAAATGCTGGAAACGCACCTTTTCAATATTAATGGAGGTTTAATTAAATTATTGTAAAAAACTGCCCACATTGCCAGCTTGGGCTCGTTTGAAGAAGTGCGATACCGATACACAAGACTTGACTAAGCAGAGATTCAACGTATTTATGGTTAGTTTTGGAATTGTGGTCTTCAAAGCTTGGAATGTATAACAATGTCAAACGTGCATAAGCATTATTACAAGCAAATTCATTCCGCCGAAAAAATCAAAGTGAAAGTTTGGAAGGTTGCGCGCTGATTTTTCCTGATCTCAAAATTTGAAGAACCTCCGCTTTTCAATAGAGTGAAGGAGGGCTACTTTTCCACGGTTCCAAAACGAATTAGAACTCAACGCAGTTGAAAACAATGAAAACTGGGGTTGTGAAGGGAGGTTCTGAAGCCATTTGTACAGCAGTCGTTGTCATTTATATATCAATCAAGTTTTCCTTTAATGGAAAATTCGAAATGCCTTCGAAAGTTAGTCGATTTGCTTTTGGCAAAACAGATCCGTTCCACTTGTTACACTTAATGGGAAAAAATGGGTCGACAATGTTTCCGAAAATATTCTCCATTTTTCATTCGATTTAAAGCGACGCTTGAAAACTGAAGCTTGACAGAGGGCAATTTATTCAATTATCCAACCGTTCTCCCCAATGTGGAAAATTGAAAATGAAAACGTCGCCCCCTCGCGCCCTCATAAATATTAATTTACCTAATTCCCCCCAGTTATAGTTAAATTTTAAACCACATAATAAAAGCGGGGGGTGCGGAAAATGGGTCGGTTAATGTGTTATTCAGTGGGTCGATGTGTGACGCCACTGGCGCAAACAATCCTTGCGTGTCGCCCCCGAAAAGGAAACTTTATAAAGTGTAAATACGTTTACGTAAACGTCTAATCTTTTAAGTGAAACTACAAAACTTAAAGTGATTACACGGTCTTATTTCAGTCAGTCTGGCGATGGAAGTCGGCTTTTCGCTTCCATGGAGTTTAATGGAAAATGTTGCTATCGATTTGCTTATTAAAAACGTCCCCCCGATGGCTCTCCTGGGGGCGTTTGGAAGCCCTGAAATAAAACCGGTCAGAAATATTCAATTTAAACCGACCGCCAAATTCTGTCATTTCGCTTAACATCGGTCGTTTATTACAGTTTTCCATAACAGTTCGGTTTAATCCTGAAATGGCCAATTGTGGTGCTTTGGACGAACAGTGACGTGTTTTTTTTTGGAAATAACTAAACTGAAACAACACATTGTGGATTGGTGCACACTTTAAATCTAAAGCAATTATGAGAAAGACAGTACTTTAGATATTGTTGGAAAAAGCCATTACGACTGTTCAGAGTGACTTTTAGAACGGGTTAAGTGTATGCGGTTTGATACCTGAAGAATGGTGAATTGCTTACATTTTGGCGGGTAACTTTTTAAAGGTTAGGGAATTTAGGTCAAAGGCAACAGATAAAATACAGTGCTCAAAACGCTCTTTAAAAAATATTCTGACGACTGCTAAACGATTTCCAACCGTTTCGGAGATGCGCGATCTTGAACGTAACAGTTTTCTAAATTCTCCAATTTTTTGCTCCTAACTTTTTAAAGGTTAGGAAATTGTGACAAAACCTAATCAGTAAAGTGTAGCTCATGCTCCTCAAAGAAGATACGTGTGAATACTGCGCTATTTTTACCCGTTTTGGAGGCACGCGATCTTGAACGCAAAAGTTCTCCAAATTTTCCAACTTTTTGCTCTTAACTTTTTAAAGGCCAGCAATTTATCACAAATTCTAATGAATGAAAGTTAGTTCTCGAGACGCTCTTTCAAAAATATACTTATGACTTCTGAGTTATTTTCAACCGTTTTGAAGGTGATGAGCTCTTGAACGCAACAGTTCTCTAAATTTTCCAACATTTTGCTCCTATCTTTTTAAAGGCTAGGAATTTTTGACCAAGCCTAATAAGTAAAAGACAGTTCTAAAATGCTCTTTCAAAATGATGCTTATGACTACTCAGCAATTTTGAACCGTTTTGGAGAAAGCCGCTTTTGAATGAAACATTTCTCCAAATTTTCAAAGTTTTTGCTCTTAACATTTTGAAGGCTAGGAATTTGTGATGAACCCTGATAAGTAAAAGATAGCTCTCAAGATGCTCTTTCAAAAAGATGCTTATGACTTCTAAGCAATTTTGAACAGTTTTGGAGATATCCGCTTTTCAATGCAACAGTTCTCCAAATCTTCAAACTTTTAGCTCCTAACTTTTTAAAGACTAGGAATTTGTGATAAAACCTAATAAGTAAAAGACAGTTCTCAAGATATTCTTTCAGAATGATGCTTAGGACTAATAAGCAATTTTGAACCGWTTTGGAGAAAGGCACTTTTGAAAGCAACATTTCTCCAAATTTTCAAACTTTTAGCTCCTACTTTTTAGAGACTAGGAATTTGTGAAAAAATCTGATAAGTAAAAACAGTTCTCAAGATACTTTTTCAGAATGATGCTAATGACTACTAAGCAATTTGGAACCGTTTTGGAGAAAGACGCTTTTGAATGCAACAGTTCTCCAAATCTTCAAACTTTTAGCGCCTAACTTTTTAGTGACTAGGAATTTGTGATAAAATCTGATAAGTAGAAGACAGTTCTCAAGATGCGCTTTCAGAATGATGCGTATGACTACTAAGCAATGCTGAACCGTTTTGGAGAAAGACGCTTTTGATTGCAACTTTTTGCTCCTAACATTTTAAAGAATAGGTATTTTACATAGGACTCACAATACAAAATGCAGCTCTCTGAATTCTGTTTAGAAAAGATGCTTACGCCTACTTAGCAGTTTTGAACCGTTTTAGAGAGACGCGCTCTTGAACACAGCTTAGAAAATTTCCAATTTTTCCCTCTTACTTTCTAAAGGTTGCGATTTTTTTAAATCTTCGGAAACCGAAGACAGTGCTTCAAATATTCTGTAAAAAACTTACTTACGTCCACTAAACAATTTTTGACCATTTCGAAGATATCCGCTCTTGAACTTCCACGGTTTCTTATCCAACTTTCGGCTTTATGGTTCTAGCTGTATAAAGGTTAGTAACTTCTAGGATAATTAGTATTAAACGTGAAACCCTTGTTTGACGAGTTGAAATTGACTGGGATGCGATCCGAAAAACCTACCCCAATAAAAATCGATTACGCCTTCATTGGAGTTCACACAGTTTCTTTTTATTTTATTTCGGGCCAATTTTCGTGACCGTTTTCGCAACTTTATAAAAGCGATTTTCCTCCGATTGTGACGTGGAAATTCGGGTTTTCTTAACTAGAATTGGACAAGTGGTAAAACGTTTTTACTTGTCGTCCACCGGGGGGAGTTTCAACGATTTGAACGGTCTCAACTCGCTAAGTCCCCGATTAAATCAGCGTCACCGTTTAAGGGAAACGGTCTTCCGAACGTTAAAGATTTGTTAACGATCGTGATCTATTGGCAGTGTTTGGGATGGAATAACACACTGTTTTCTGCAATTAAACAGCCAGAGAAACTGCTCAAAGCATCAAAGCAGGCCAAAGAAGCGGATGTTAACAGTCAGTGAGGTAGAAAATGCATTTAGCTGGCACCAATAGCAGAGCTAATCGCGATCAAACATTGGAAAATTTAAAAAAACTGCACGCAAATTGAATTTGCAACATTTGGGCACGCAGCTGAAAACACACAATGGGTCGTTTTTCCGTTGAAAAAAATATTGAATTTGCAAGCAATTTTTCGAGAGCCAAGTGAAACTAGGCCAATAAATCCGGCGGAAAATGTAAATCAAGACTCGATACATAGACATCTATCTAATCTTTTAAGTGAAACTGCCAAACGTAAAATGAAGAGGGGGCTTTATTTGAGTTTCGTGAAGCTGAAAGATTAGTCTGACGATGTTACATTCTCACCGGGTTTAATATGGAAGTTGTTTGTGCGTCTTAAGCCGTTTAATCGAAGACGCGCGCTGTTTTCTGCGAATTTACATACAAATTACTTCGGTTTTAATGGGTCGTCTCTCACTCTGTATCCTCATAGAGAGGAGCTACAGCCGACTGAATTGAGCGATTGAAAATCGCTCTCTCATTCGATTAATTAAAAAACGCCAAACCAAGTAAATAATTCATTATCAATTTTCCTAATGTGTTCGAATTGTGTGTCGTTACACGTACAAATGATGTGATGGGCTGGCACCAAATATGTCTATTGATAAAGCACAATTGAGCAATCGAGTTAATGTAGCTTTAGTGGATTAAATTTGAGTTATGCCGCTCCGATAATGACAGTCATTATCAAGCATTAAAAGCCTTGATTTATTCCGATTCTAATGGACACTTCTCAATATTGAACGGACAAATAACGGATCGCAAGTGAAAATCAACAGATTATTATAGGCGCGTTCTGCATGTTTGTTACTTACGTTTTATAGGTTAGGCATAGCTGAAACCACATCATTTTAGTAGGTTTAACTACTCAGCTATTTTGATTAGTTTAAAAGATATGCGCTGTCCGCAAGCAAATATACTGGTTGGACAAGCCAATGGGAATACGTTTTCATTCGTTATCATTTTTCCGACGTTTTTCAGCTCAATTTGTGTAAAATTGAAGTAAACGCGTCAATCCCCAGGACAATTAAAAGCAAACTAACCAAGTCACCAGCCAGTTTCGGCATTCAGCTCGTTCCAAAGCTCATTTTTTGCGGGTTTAGCGTGTCAATATCGTGACATCGAGCCCTTCCAAGTAGCGAAATAAGAAAATAAACGAAATTTCTGACTGGGGTATCAAACAGAAATTTTTGGG